AAACAAACACAACAAATATGAACATTTAATAAAATTCAACTAGAGAAAAAAAAAACTGTACTTGGATAGAGAATATCTTTTACAGTTTTTCTTACATCACAAAACAAGTCTGTTTGTCCTGCTAAAAACCGAATTATTAATTCATAAATACTTGTGAACTCATAAAAGGTCAAATTATCCGATATTTTTAGATATTTTTTGTGTTTTTTCTCCTCATGTTGGTTGCACCACATGACTTAGACAAAAAAAATTTAATATTGAGAAGCACTAAAGCAATTTTGTTAAATAATTTTTATAAATCCAGACATTATAATCACAGGTAAGAATTTCATTTGACAGCATTTTTTAATAGATCCAGCCACCAAAAATGAGAAAGTCATTGACCCTTAAAGGGGTCATATGATGCGATTTCAATTTTTCCTTTCTCTTTGGAGTGTTACAAGCTCTTGGTGCATAAAGAAGATCTGTAAAGTTGCAAAGACTAAAGTCTCAAATCCAAAGAGATATTCTTTATAAAAGTTCAGAGTTAACCACGCCTTCTTAAAACGGCTCGTTCTAACACGCCACCACATACCTACGTCACGTGGGAAGATTTGCATAACAGCGCCAAATGTTCTCGCTGTAGTATTGTTGTTGCTGTGTGTTTTGTTGTGAAAGCGAAACTACTTTGTTTGGCCTTCCAAAAGAGGACGATATCCGCTTCGTCATGCCTGGAGCTGATCCGTGCTGGTCGCTGAGGAAATACATCAACTTCGCGCTGTGGATCGCCGGATCGGCTTTCACCGTGGACGAAGCGGAGTCCAGCCTGGGGTCGTCACATGTGGTTGCCGCAAGCCCCCTGGCGGCTCCTTTGTCGAATCCGCCGGCCGCGCCATTCTCAAGCCCGCCCACCGCAGCTCACTCAGGCCCCCGGCCTGCGCTCACTCAAGCCCGCCAATAATGTTCTTTTTAGCAACATCATATGACCCCTTTAAGGTGCTTTCTGTTTCACATTTACAATTTCTTAGAGAAATTTCCTGAACAAAATCCAGTCACTCCAATAGAAATCCCTACAAATGGGGGATTCCCCAAAAAAAAGTTCCCTACACAGGTTTCACTCATGCTCAAGTTGGTCACATGAACTCACCGTACTCACCTACAGAAAGTTACCGGTTTTAAAAGTGACTCCTGCGTGAGCAGTACTTCTTACATCTCTATAAATATCAGACTTTTTTTGCACACAAAATTTCAGTGATATGACCACACCTTAAATCAGTCTCACTGGACAAATTCAGTAGTAATCCTTAGGGATCCACCGAAATGAAAATTCTTGGCCGAAGCCGAACAAAATGAAACATGTATTTTTGCCTTACAAATAAATGCAGCCTTGCTGAGCAGAAGAGACTTCTTTTAAAACATTAGAAAATATTATAGATCCTAGTCTGAACTCTATGTGGAAATGTTACAATAAATGTTTTAATAGAGCTGTTGTAATTATTAATTTCATGATTATTCTTTTTTTATTTTATTTTACAGAACAACAGTAAAATTTCAATAATAACCTTTATTAATGTTGACGGAGTTCTTGCTTTTTCTCAACTTTTATTTTGGCAGAAACCCGCAGAAAGACCTCAGTGCTTCTTTTTGTTGACAAATGATTCTCATTAAGAATTTGGGAAGACGTTTGTTTGTTATTTGGGCACATATCGCATTGTCACATGCCTTGTAAAAATTCATAAAAATGTTACTGAGCAGCTGCCGAGTAACACAGCTTTAGCGCAGAGTTTGATGAAGACATGTGATGCAGTACTAAACAGTCTCTCGCTGTCGGTGCTTGTAATGATTTTTGCGTCTTTCTCGGATAGCTTTAAATGTTTCCACACTGCCGTCGTGTTGCTGCATTAGCGCATGCCTCTATTTGATCGCGTCACGTCATTGTTCGGTACAATTTATTTGGTCTTTTCGCTTATTTCGGTTGCCGAACATTCGGTGCATCCCTAGTAATCCTCATACCCTGGAGAACTTGAGAGTCTGTATCAAAGCATATAACTGGAAATCAGTAGGTTTGACAAGTTAACTTACAAACTTCACATCACAATATCGTCCGATATTTAGTACTGCGCAAACACTACTTGTTGGGACCCTGACCGACTAGAGCCAGATCAGAGAAACTCTGTGGGGACCAAGCAACAGACATTCGCCCTGGCCTGGAAATGAGGCCCTGGAGACAGCAGCCAATCAGGATCCCTCAAACAGCTCCATCCATCCTCACAGAGGCCTCGTGTGCGTCACAAGCCCACGCGCCAATTCCCCTGAGACTAACAGCCAATAACACTGAGCTGATGGGAATAACAAACACACAAATAAAGGCTAGGCACACACATAAACGTGCCTGAGTGAAAGGACGTGCCCACCCGAAATAAAAAAAATCGTCTGAGCTTAGCTCGACACGCAGTGGCCCCTAAGAGTAAATGCCTGTTAAGATCTTGCACGCCGATCGCATACTAAAACCAAGCAATACCCGGATCCGACTGGCAATCTCCTGTCAGAGCCCTGACCTGCCAAATCCATCGCATGATATTACTATCTCAAACACGACAGGGTGCAATACAAGGCCACCGCCACCCCGGGTCTGATCACTACAAAACACGAAGACCGTCTCCCATCAGTCAAATTGACCACTCTAAAGACAAAGCAATAACGCAGTAAATTGTAAGGCGAGGAAGTCTTGCAGCAATCTATGGGTTCATTTGGGCCTGGAGGCTCCTGGAGCGATGCAGAATGAAAAGCCTGCTGTTTATTAGGAGCCCGCCTAAACCCTAATGCACCGGGAGAGTGGCGAATCCACGTCCCCATCGGTCCACGGGAGATTTGAGAAAACTGGCGAAAATGGGTGCCACTCAAACTGATGTACTATTTAAATAATGAAGCTCAAGCAGCAATGAGGGAAATATCTGATGAGGGGGCAAAGGGTCGGTGCTCAGGGGACAGAACGGACGCCACATTTTAACACTGATTTGCATTTATCACACAGAAAAATTGGACAAGGCACAACTGCCCCCGACTTAATAAAATCAGCTTTGCAGATTCCTGTCATCAGAGAAAGGCACTTATGAACCCCCTTTTCAATTTTACAATAATAAGAGAAGGTCGACATTTCAGCTCCCATCAGGCTCCCAGCACGTGATTTTGACTAACAAGTTTGAAATTAATGAATAAGGTCTTTACAGTTCATTCAATCCCGTAAGGTAAAGCATACATTTTTGATCATCCTCTAATTAAATGTAAAACCAAATATTAAAACTTACGTAATGTAGCGTGTGGTAATCCCATTGTAATTTTGGCCAATCTGTGTTACGGTAAGACTTAATTAACCGACACTATGCTGAATACTGTTACTGAAGTATTAAATCCCAGAATTATTATTAACCTTTATTAAGATGTACAAGATGTGATACAAAACACATTAGTCCTTGAAGGAACAGTTCATCCAAAAAAATAAAAAATGTGTCATTATTTACTAAAGTTGTTCTTTGCCTTTTCTTGTTATTTAGTCTGGCAATCTGGTTACCCAGTTCAGGTCTGATGAATTTATTCTTTGTTCTTTAAAGAAATCAACACTTGTTCAGCAAGGATGCATTAAACTGATTAAAAGTGACATTGTTAAAA